TCAGCCAGCACTTGTTTGGTTGTCTCCAAAACATGTTGCTGGAGGAGGTTCCTGAGCTAGTTGTGCGTTAGATGGTGGACTGCCTGCACCGGAGTCAGCAGGGTCCATGTTGGCCAGTTCTTTCTGTTAGGATGGCTCGGGTGTCGAGCTTCGGATGGGAACACAGTCAGTGGTGGAGATGATGAGAAGAGGACCGGGCTGCGGACACTGGGACTCACTCCTGGACTGGTCGAGTTGGATGGTACTGAAGAGGAACAGAAATTGTACATACGGTAAGTAGAAGACTGTGCATCGACCTGCAGGGTGGTGGTGAAGCAGAGCAGAGGAGGTCCGTGGTCCGAAGGAGCGACTGAGGCGAGGAGGGAATGAATAAAAAGCAGCTGGAGAGAAGGAGACAAAATAACTAACACAGATCAGAAGGAACAACGGGGAACAAACGGGCCTGAGAAATGCTAGAAAGAACTGGCAGTGCAGGGGCTAAATAGGAAGAAACTAATCAGGTGCAGCTGGTGGTAATCCGGGGGCAAGAAGCAGGTGTAAGGGATAACGTAATCAGGGTAAGGGAGTGAAAACAGAGCGAGGGAAGTGAGAAAGTAGGTGCAGCCAGGCAAACCTGAGATTAGCTTTATTTTGAAAATCATGTCCCATTCAAATGAATGGGAAAATTCTACTTTCAGCTATCAAAATGTTCAGGTCTTCAAGGACATTCATGTTTCTCTTCAGAAGTTTTCTAAACTTCTTACTCTTGAAATATTTTGCTTTTTTTTGAAAATCTTGCCCCATTCAAATGAATGGGATAATTCTACTTCAGCACAATTTCAGCTATCAAAATGTTCAGCTCTTCAAGGAAATTCATGCTTCTATTCAGATTTTTTCTAAACTTCATACTTTTGAAATATTTAGCTTTATTTTGAAAATCATATCCCATTCAAATGAATGGAAAAAATTTACTTTCAGCTATCAAAATGTTCAACTCTTCAAGGACATTCATGTTTCTCTTCAGAATATTTCTGAACTTCATATTCTTGAAATATTTAGCTTTATTTTGAAAATCTTGCCCCATTCAAATGAATGGGAAAATTCTACTTCAGCACAATTTCAGCTATCAAAATGTTCAGCTTTTCAAGGACATTCATGCTTTTATTCAGAATTTATCTAAACTTCCTACTTTTGAAATATTCAGCTTTATTTTGAAAATCTTGCCTTATTCAAATGAATGGGAAACGTCTACTTCAGCATACTTTCAGCTATTTCAGCTGCTAAAATGTTTAGCTCTTCAAGGACATTCATGGTTCTCTTCAGATGTTTTCTAAACGTCATACTCTTGAAATATTTAGCTTTATTTTTGTAAATCTTGCCCCATTCAAATGAATGGGAAAATTCTACTTCAGCACAATTTCAGCTATCAAAATGTTCAGCTCTTCAAGGACATTCATGGTTCTCTTCAGATGTTTTCTAAACGTCATACTCTTGAAATATTTAGCTTTATTTTGTAAATCTTGTCCCATTCAAATAAATTGAGAAATTCATACTTTCAGCTAGGAAAAGCATTCAGGTGTCAAAATGTTCAGCATTTTCAGGGCGATTTTACAGCACTCATCATCCACACACTTTTTTTTTCAGAAAATGCAATTTTGTAGTTCTTCCTTAACATTTGTGTTTATGAAGGTTAAAATGCTTCAGCTTTTGGTGAGATTGTCATAAATGTATAAATTCAAATATAGTCATAGTTAAAGGAAGTGTTGTACCGCACTACTTTATATTTAGAGGTGTCTGTATATTTTTGTCCTGCCCATTGACATAAATGAGAGGGTCGGAATATTAGGAACACCTCTGACACAATGTAACATTGAAAGGAAGTAAAAAGAAGACAATTTCAAGAAGGAAATTTGGTCATACTGGTTTGAATAGTACATTGAAGCTGTTAAAGAAGCATAATACTGGTGAGTGGGAGCTACAGAAAAAAGGTGAGCATGTTTTTTCCCCTTGAGTTGTCCAAGGTTCAAGCAGTAGAGGAAGTTATTTAAAAGTACAATTCAAAGTAATGCAATAGGATTTCATTTAAAAGATACATGTATGTTACAAAAGAGTTCAGGGGTTGTAAGGTACAGAGCAATATTTAGATTTTTAGAGGCTACTGACCTGGGTAAAATAATATAGCAGTATCCATTATCTATACCGCTTATTCCTGAACAGGGTCGCGGGGGAGCCTAATAACATAAAATGAGTGAGGTTATCTCATTATAATAGTAGTAGATAGGACCCGTTCTGATCCACACTCCACTCTAGAAGGTGGCGGTAATGCACCCAAAGTTGTTTGCTAACCGGCATTAAACAACAAATGAGAAAGAAGAAGAAACAGCGTCAGTAGCAGCAGAAGCAGAGGAAGAAGAAGAAGACGCTCTCTCATTGCTTCATTACTGTCGTCACTAAGTTCAGGTAGACGGAGTGAAGATGGCGACAACCTACGAGAGATACAATTTGTGAGTATATGTTATATAGTTATTCGTATTTTTAAAAGTCTTATGTCCACACCTTTTAAAAGGCAAACAAGACGGGGGGCTGTGGCTCAGGAGGTAGAGCGGGTCGTTTCCTAACCGGAGGATTAGCGGTTCGATTCCCGGCTTGTCCAGTCAACGTGTCGAGGTGTCCTTGAGCAAGACACTGAACCCCCAGTTGCTCCCGGTGATGTCACCGGTGTGTGAATGCGTGAGTGCTTGGGAGTGCGAAAACGCTTTGAGTGTGCTGTAAAAAGCATAGAAAGGCGCTATACAAGTATAAGACCATTTACCAAGACGTGACGCTTATAACTGAGGAAAACTAGGAGTTGGAGTTCAGACGCAGTGTTAGGTTAGGTGACACGGCGGCTGAAGTTGGCTGACAGGCTCGGCTAGTAGATCAGGAACCAGTCAGGATTCACTACGAAGGGTCTAGCTTGATATCAATGTGTAGACTTAGCAGATTGGGTGCGGCTTAATTCGCTAAACGCTCTGATACGAGATTTTGTCCTTTAGTGCGAACAGGGCGGCAAAATGTTAGTCAACCTCAGCTTAGCCTAGCTAGCACCAAATCTGCGCAGAATCGATCACTGATCAGTACACAATGCACGTCAGTTAGTTTTCTCTCTGACTTGATTCCGGACTTGTTCATGACATAACGCCCACGTGGCCTGCGATATTCTCACGTGATGGAGGCGGTCGGCTGCAAGAGCTCAGGGCATCATGGGAAACGCCTAGGTTTCACCTGATCTGCGAGCTGATTAATTGAGATGTTGGATCAGCAACATGTCGTTTTATAGAAACGTATCATTCCTTGTATAATTGCATTGATTGTAATTTTCTGAATTGGTATTTGCACTATGAAAGATTATTATTATTACAGGATAAATGTGCGGTTGATGTCGACTTTTATCACTCAGAGAAGCTGAATAGTCAGTCTACAGTACGTTTCATATAGTTCTCATAGACTTCAGGCAATTTGTGATAGTTCTGCTCTATAATATGAGCTGGTTTAATTTGTGAAGTATCAATTAAGTGACACAAAAGTCGTTGGTAAGCAGGAAGTGAAGATTCTTTCAGTGGTATCTGTACAGAGGTGATGCAGGCTAAATATCTGACAGATCAACAATGGCTGTTAATGTATTTATGCAGTTTCATATCAAATCAAGCCCAGGCGACTCAAATACAGCAGCAAACTGACATGATGACTGCTTTATATGAAAAATGTAGCCCACATAGTTTTTCAGGCACAATCTTTAAGTAATAGTATGGATTTGAACATAGATCAGCATGTTATCACTCTCCTTGTCATATAGAAGAACGTCATTAAAACAACAACTGTTCGTAGAAGCTGAATAGTTTGGTTTGAAGACACTTTATTAAATCAAGATTAGATCTAACGGGATGTGAGTGCGTCTGTGACGTCCTGTAAAGACTGAAGGCTGGTGGGAAGCTCCTAAACTGTCCATCTTGACTGCAGATTTTTGTCATCACCCCCACTGCTGCTGTCTGCTCTCATCCTCTTGCCAGGCTAGATGCAATTCACCCTGAATTGCTCCCGGTGGCTTGACTAGCGCCGTTGTGTGGCAGCCTGTTGTCATTGGTGTGTGAATGTAGTGTGTGAATGGGTGAATGGTGTATGATCTCCTGTAAAGCGCTTTGGCCAGTGCAACACACTGTGAGAAAAGCGCTATATAAAATACAGTCCATTTACCATTTTACCATCTCCAGTGAGCTTGTAGGTAACTGAAGACAGGGTTAGATTGACTTTGGTTAACATGGGGCGCAGGGAATAAGTCATCTGAAAGATGATATTTTTGCCCTCGTTTGAGGTATGGGCTGACAGCCCTGATAAAATGCTGACCACCAGCTATCACCTCCTTCGTGTCTGGCGGAAAATACGACATTTGTGTATAATGCAAGCTTCAGATCAACTTCTCCTTTTCAGTCAAACGCTAGTGTGTCATCTTGTAGGCATAGTGTCAGGGTGGGCACATCAGATTGATCTAATATGACTTCACTCCAAAGATGATGTGCATGAGTTTGCTCAACTTTTACTAGGGACATTTATGTCCCTTAAAATATTATTAGGCACATCCCTACTGTCAAATCTGCATTAGACAGAGCGTGATGCTTGTTCTTAATCTCTATACAACCTTCTATCATCTTTCAAAAATATCCCTGCAGTGCCATATTTATGGCCATACTTTGTAGTGGCATCAATGCACAGTGTAATATCATTTTATGACAGTAGGGTATCCTCCACATGCTGGACTGCCACTTATTGAGCTTCTAATGCCAAGTACTTACAGATAGTGGGTCCACTAACGGGGACCAACTAGTGCCAACAGTGTGGACAAACTGGTACGATGAGCCCCACCAGACACTCACCGATGGTGACTGACCGCTGACCGTGGGCTTGGTGCATCTCTGCTCTAACACTCACAATTTGAGTAGCATTTCATGTTACTAACACACAGCCCCTTCCGGGACTGCAAAACAGGAATGGTATTCAGTAGAGTTTTCAGACTAAAAAATAAATAGACAATGATCTATTAAAGCAAAACAGAAAAAAATGATTTCAGTGATCATAGTTCTTAAGATGTTTTAAATGTCAGTCCAGTGCCCTGTTTTTTCCATTGTGATTATATTGTGGGTAGACCTTTGGACCTCCCTATTTTAAGTGGTCAAGCATTGTATTGAAAAGCAGTGAGAGTGATGTAATGCATCTTGCATCACTTGACCTCTTGCTCTCTCTGACCATACCTTAGTATTGATCCGGTTGCAGGGGGAGTGTTGTAGGTGTGTACGACGTTGAGACAAGTCCAGGTGAGCAGTGTCAATCACGTTTCCAGCCTGTGAGCTTCCGTTGTGTTTTGGGTAGCCATGCTGCTAACATAGCCTAATCTACCATTGCACCAGTTCTTGATAGATTAAAACACAGTTTAACATCCAGTAGCCCAACTAATGAAAACACATGGTGTCTCTTTATGGTGCATTAACTGTGGCCCAAATTTAACAGTAAATAGCAGCTAATGCTCATGCTAATGCTCATGCTGTGGCCATCGAGGTTCTGATTGTCCACCATATGTGAATGTCACCATCTGGTGCAGCAAAGCTTGAACCACATCCAAGTTTTTAACTGCACAGGGTTGCGTTGGTTTGCCAGAGCCCCCTGCGGTGCTGGTGCCGGCTGCAGTGAATGCAGTCCACCATAGAAATGAATGGAGAGGACTGCATTCATAAAATGAATTGATGCTTTCAAACTCAGTCTGAACACAGCCTGATGCTGGGACACTTAGCAGTTGACCTTTGTTTTGAACATTAACATACAAAAGCTGCATCTGTAGCACACCGGGATGCTTAGTAAACATCGCTGCACTAGCTGTAATTCACCTCTGGTTTAAAAGATCAGCTGTGACGACTTTCTTGTTCTTTCCCAGGCACACAACCCCAGAGAAGTTCTTCATTGAGGCCTGTGATGAGGGGGCTGATGCAGTGCTGGCAATCGACAGGGTGTCAAATGAGATGACCCTCGCAGGTAAGAAAGACTGAAAGATTAATGACTGTGCATCACTGACACGCATATCTCAGCTGTCATCACCTTTTTTTCCTGAACAGTTTCATTAAGTTTTTAATAACGCAGAATCAGCATTAGAGCACATACTACATCACAAATACATAAACGGCAAAGAATGTGAATGCATAGAAGGAAGCAGCCTAGAACAAACCAAATACACCCTGTTTCCTTTGAATGCAGAGCTCAAAATTCAGTTCAGTCCAAGATGGGTGTCCCCTTTCCCCAGACCTTGGTGTTGTGTTGAAATCTGCTTCCCGATGGAGATGTGTTTCCTCTAACCTGAATCCTAACATTAACTTAACCACAACCGCTGAGGGGGCGCTACATGAAACTGAGTTTTGAACAGGAGGAGCACTTTTCAACACAAGACCAGTCAGGAGGCCAGGACAACGCAAAAACATGGACAAATAAGCTACGTTTTCAACGATAATACTTCAAATTCTACCTGATATGTTCGTGCCAGAATAAGAAAGCGGACAGCATGAGGAACGGCTTTAAGTAATCAGAATGTCTCCTCCATAGATAGGTAAATGTACGGTTTATGTACTGATGAAAAGAGATGTGTAACACTAAACAAAGTGGGTAGTTGAGAAACCCCATATTTTAACTGGCATAATGCAGACATAATAACTTCTCAGCCTTACAATAGTTCTCTACAGAAACAAGGAATTAACAGACATGCAATGTGTTTCTTTTTTTTGTTTTGTTTTTGTTTTGTTTGTCCCACCGAGTCGGGTAAACTTCAAAGTTGTAAATCCTCGGCGTTACAGGTGTCCACTTACAATCCCAAAGTAGTGGAATCAGTTCCAACTGGTTGCGCAGCACTGTTGCTTTCAGCCTATGTCTGACTTTATTCCACATTTCAGCACCAGTCTTTGTCAGACACACACACTTTCTTATAAGAATTGCATTCCTATATAGCCTATGCAACTAAACTGCTAAAGCAGATACGTTTTGTGGTGAATGTATTTTATCATTAGATTATATTCCGATACAAGATAACATTAATTCTTGAATGAATGAAGCAATGCATGTTCCTACAACAGCAGCAGTGTATGAAAATGGAGTGAGGAGTACAAAGTGCAGCCCTGTCGCATGTTAAATTTAGCTCTCTCTAAACCAGGTGCAGTGAGAGTCAACACAGCCATAATAAAACTTGTTAAACATCGTCTTTGAGCAGCACCTCTGTAGCCGATTCAGTTCAGCAGCCTCTGTCTCCTCTCCTCACCTCCCATATCAACTTTCCACACAATAATTGGCTCACAAAATAACGTGAATGCAGTTCATGAGCTGTGATAAATAAAAAATAACCCTAACATGTCCTGATGGTGTTACAGGCATTATCGACAGCAGGTCATGTCAGCATGTTTGCTGTCACTCGCTCCAAGCCATGCAGGGCTCATGTTAGGAAGCAGAGATGATATGATCCGCTTGTGTGTGATGTTGCATTAGATGGGTCCTTGGGCCATACATTTGAAGCTATAATTCTATATGTGGTGATGGTACAGTGATTGTGGGGATTACCCATCTGCCCATGTCCATAAAATGACATCTGTATCACTGGACGCTCTCTGTTAGCACGGTCAGGCGACTGTGAAGGAATCAAGAAAAGAAAACATTAGTCCCCGTATTTACTATTGTACTTTATATTGTAACCTTGCTCCGTTGGCTACTAATCGGTTAAGAGAGGAATTTTCTCTCCCCCCACTCACCCCAACCTGTCGAGACAAACGCCACCAAGAGCCGGGGTCTGTCAGAGGTTTCTCCTGTTAAAGGGAGATTTTCCTCTCCACTGTCACCAAGTGCTGCTCAGGGGGGGTTTGTTGGGTTTTCCTCATAATAGTGTAAGGTCTAGAACTGATTCATATAAAATGTCCTGAGACAATTGTTGTGAATGGACACTATACAAATAAATTGAATTGAATTGGTGCTGTCACAGGTAGAAAGGATGTTCCCCCCTCAGCAGTCACCAGGCCTGTATGCGGCATCATGGGAACTATTCGCCTGATAGCAGGTAGGTACCTTGTTGATACAACATTGTTGACAGGGTTTTGTTCAGCATGTCTTTTAAGCCTGTACAGTAAATCTCCTGATACTGACCACTTACATCACACAGGGATGTACCTAATTGTCATCACCAGAAAGAGGAAGGTGGGCAGCCTCCTGGGCCACGCTGTGTGGAAGGCTATGGATTTTGACGTGATTTCTTATAAAAAGACAGCGCTCCATCTTTCCGAGATCCAGGTCAGCTAGACTTTTCATTCATCTTTTCTAACAAAAAATAACAGTATCCTCTATAAAATTATCTGACGAGTCACGTTGTGTTCATGGGCGGATCCAGAAAGTTTTGGACGGGGTGGCTAGACCACGGCAAAGGCTCAGAGAGATGTGGCACATTTGAAATGCGTGTAAAAGATAAATTAAACCCCTATTTCCACAAAAGAATAAACGTGCATTATTAATAATTGAGCAGTTCATTTCCCCTTCTGTACTGCTCTATTCAAACATCTATGGCTTAGCATGCTGGCTACGGAGAAGGCTAGCTAGCTACAACGCACATAGTACCACACAAGCATTCACTCAGCTTCATTCAGCTGTTCTGTAGCTGTTCTGCTTGCTAGTTAGCTATAGAATGTATTACCTGTAGACTTCTTCTTCTATTACTATTCCAGTGATGTAGATTGCTTTTTGGTTTTCAGCAGCAACACCTAGGAGAGGACTGCAGTGAATCAAGTGCAACTATTAAACAGTTTTGTCTCTTTATTGACATCATAATTTGCACACGCAGTTTCCAGTGCATTGAGCATAACCACAGCTTTACGGCCGCATTCCTCAAAGCACAGGCCGAAGTGGAGGTGTGGCAGCGAGCTATAAATCAACCCTAGACCTAAACATAGTTATAACTCATTTGAAAGCCTCACTGTGAGTCTCTCACACCCAAACTGGAAAACTCAAAACACCTGTTCTGTTTGTTATTGTATACCGTCCACCTGCTCCTTATTCAGAGTTTTTAAGTGAATTCTCAGACTTTGTCTGATTTAGTGCTTAGTACAGATAAAATAATCATAGTAGGGGACTTTAATATTCATGTAGATGCCGACAACGACAGCCTCAACAATGCATTCTGTTCATAATTAGACTCAGTTGGCTTTGCTCAAATTGTAAATAAACCCACTCACTGTTTTAATCACACTCTTGATCTTGTTCTGACGTACGGCATCAAAACTGAACACTTAATAGTTTTCCCTAAAAACCCTCTTCTGTCTGACCGTTTTCTAATAACTTTTGAATTTGCATTAATGGATTATACTCTATGTGGGGAAACAATTCCACTACAGTAGATGTCTATCTGACAATGCTGTTACCAAGTTTAAGGAAATAATTCCATCTTTATCTACTTCAGTGCCATTTGCCAAGTGGAAGGAGGCCACCTTAACTTTACTCCCACACAAATCGATAATCTTGTTGATAGTACTGCAGCCTCCCTGCGTAATACACTTGATACCATTGCCCCTCTGAAAAGGAAGGCAGTGAAACAGAGGAGGCCCCGTGGTACAGCTCGCAGCTCCGCTCCCTAAAGCAGGCATCACGATAACTGGAAAGGAGGTGGCGCTCCACTAAGTCAGAAGAGTTTTTCATAGCCTGGAAAGATAGTTTAATAATGTATAAAAAGCCCTTCGTAGTGCCAGAACTGCATATTATAGTGCCCAGACTGACAAAGAGCCGGGGTCTGGCGGAGGTTTCTTCCGTTAAATGGAGTTTTTCCCTCCCCACTGTCGCCAAGCGCTGCTCAGGGGGATTTGTTGGGTTTTCCCTATATAATAATAGTAAGGTCTAGACCTGACTTTGTAAAGTGTTCTGAGACGACTTTTGTTGTGATTTGGGGCTGTACAAATGAAATTGAATTGAATTGAATCAACCATAGCCACACGTTTTCATGTACAACACTCTGACAGAGACAGGAGACCTGATTTCATGGACTGTGCAAAGAAGTAGGTGACTGCAATAGAGAGCACGGCGTCACAGGAGGAGCTTTACCAAAGTCAAATTTTCTTTTGTTTTGTTTGGCCCTGAATTTTGTAACCAAGACTTCTTGAGTTGTATTGTGGCTTTCAAATTTTAGGATATTTAAAAAATATCTTGTTTGTGTTCAACATAATATTTTATCTTCTCATTGAAATCCTGAAGCAAATTTGTATGTGACACAAAAAGGCAGTTTATTATTTTGGCTCGTGGAGTTTGTTTTCCATCTACCAGGCACCTTGGCCAATGAGTCAAAAAGTTAATTTTGTACCATGGTTACACATTGGTTGCACAAGCACATATGTCATTTAAGCACTTACACTGCCCACAAAACTATCACTCCTACGAATATTGTAATTATAACATCATCTATGAGCTCTTGAAGCTTGGTGAGCTGAAACTACTGGTGAAAGCCTCCACATCTAAATGAGACTGTCTCGCCATAACTAGAATTTAGCTCACATGCAGACTAAATAACAAAAGTGGGAAAGTTCACTTAATAGCTCATATTCTGTGACCCAAAAACAATTTGCTCATCTTGTGAGTCATACTTGAGTTTGAGCATGCCCCTGAGCTCAGCAAAGTATGTCGGCATGAATTTTCCTGAAAACTAAAAATCTGTTTTCTTCTTTCCTTTAGTCTCAGGAGAATAAGACCTTCCTGTCAATGATCAACAATGTGCTGACTACAGATGGCTTCTATTTCTGTACGGACTACGACCTGACACACACACTGCAGCGGTTAGCCAACACCAGTCCTGAGTTCCAAGAGATGAGCCTACTGGAGAGGGTAAGGCATCCAGTAAATGAAGTCAACAGTTTCTCAGGACTAATTCAAAGTCGGTAATAAAGTCATATTGTCAAAAACTCATGGATAAATTTAGAGCAAAAACCGTTCAAGTTGCAGACTCTGACTTCATAATGCACTCAATGAAGAAAATGAGAATATCACAACTGCTTCCACTTTGACAGACTGGTGGGGAGCTAAGAAAATCACAAGTAGCACCATGTAAATACACTACAGTTTGGAACAATCTGGGCTTTCAGTCTGCCAACAGTAACAGGTTTGTTACTCTGGTCGTGTTTTGTAATTTATATAAGTTTGGTGTTTTTCACATTTAATTTTTACATTTCATTATCATAAGGTTGTAGTCCACTGACTTCAATGCAAATATGAGCCCACCCCCCCCACCCCCGTTTTTTTCAGTCATTGTATATTGTGACACATCACGAGAGCAAGAATTTGTGTGTGTGTGGCTGTCACAAGGCTATGATCGTTATAAGGATGGTGTGTGTGTGTTTGTTACAGTGCCTAAAAAAACTATTCACCCCCTTGGATGTTTAACCCTTTTATTCATTTTATAAATCAATCATGGTCAATATCATTTGGCTTTTTTTTTTTTTTTTTTTTTTTTTACAAAAAAACAAACCTCTTTAATGTCAAAGTGAAAACAAGTTTCCACAGAGTAATGTCAATTAAATAAAAATATGTAATGTGAAATAAGTGACTGCATAAATATTCACCCCCTTCAGGTCAATATTTAGTAGATTCACCTTTGGCTGCCGTCACAGCACTGAGTCTGTGTGGACACATCTCAATCAGACTTGCACATCTGGACACTGAATTTTTACTCCATTCTTCTTTGCAAAACTGCTCAAGCTCTGCCAGGTTGCACAGGGATCGGGTGTAAACAGTCCTTTACATTAGCCAGACATTAGCCAGACCCCAGCAGCCAACCTCTGCTGCCCTGCTTAAGGTGCATATTAGAGAACTAATTTAACATGATTCAAACAGTTCTACTCAACAGTACCTTATCGTTTTTAAAAACTAAATACAGGCTCTATAACTTACTGCTGTTAAATCATCCCACCTTCTCTGCTACCAAACATGTTACCTCTGTATTCCTCTTATTATGTAGTAATGCAGATGTTTTCCCACAACAACAAGATGAAGAAGAAGTGCTGAATTGCAGTTTGTCTGCAGCCAGCTCCATCTTGGTGGCTGAGCTATTGCAAAGAAATGAACAGTGTGTACTTTATGTAGGCTACTGCGCTCAGTGTAATGTACTGGACTAAATTATATTCAGAGGTGTTCCTAATATTCTGACCCTTTCATGTATGTAACTGGGGAGGACAAAAATATAGAGACACCTCTGAATATAATGTAGTACAGTACAACACCACCTTGAACTGTGACCTCAATAATGAACATAGAATTGAGTTTATACATTTATGACAACCAGAAACTGAAACGTGAGCTTCGTAAACACAGATGTTAAGGTGGAAGTGTTGCATTGAAGTGCAGACAGATGTACAGGTGTGCCTAATAAAGTGGCCAGTGATTGTATATTGAACAGGTCTTGAAAAAAGGTCTCTAAAGGTATTGATTCCTGCACATACCCTGGTCACATATGCACTGCAGTCTGGTCAGCGACACGTCCAATATTGAGGCCAAAACAAAGTTTCACCTGATTTGGTGATGTGGATGAAAAGCCTCTTTACAGCTTTCGGTCGCTCTGGGTGGTGCTTTGGAATGGACAGCATGGGAAGGAAGACTGGGTCACTGTTTCCCTCCTGCCTACTATACACATCACTAGACAGCTAACACCCTGTTAAACTGGCTCCCTCCTCAGGGTCTGGGAGCTGTTGAGGAAAGGGTTGTGCAGTGGTTCAGCTCTCTCCGGTTGTGGTCAGGGGTCAACTCGGTGGTATTATTCCAGTCTCAACAACCAAATAAATGCTAATTAGAACTACAGAAATCTATAAAATGCTAATACTGCTGTCCTGGCTGACCTTACCCTGTTGAGCCACTCTGGAGCTCCCTCATGGTGACCTGATATTGCTCTCGCTCCAGTTCCAGTTTCTGTTTAAATTATTTACTATATTTAGAAATAATTAGAATATAACAAGGATACAATTTAAGCAATGACCTGAAATTATTATTATTTTTATTATTAAGTGTTGCCATATGCTTTTGCCTAATAATGTGCTGACGTCGTACTTTGTGAACCATATAATTGCTTATGGTTTTCAGGCAGATCAGAGATTCGTGTGGAATGGAAACCTCCTGAGAGAACTGGCTGCACAGCCAGAGGTAACACATCACTGTTGACCCATTTGGTTTTCAGTCATGCAACATAGTAAACATTTTTGTACTCACTTTATATCATTAGAATAACTACTATCTCCCTTTTTCTCTACAGCTTCATAAGTTTGCGCTTCCTGTTGTCCATGGATGTATCCTTTCCACTTAATTTTTAATCTTTTCTCATTTCTAAATACACCTACACACAGATATGATAAAATATGGTTCAAGCAAAGCCTTTCCCTGACCTTTCCGGTCCAGTCATTGTCATGAAGCCCTGCCGTATAAATGGGAAAATCTTTGAGTGGGTTCTTGTATCCAGGAGAAGCTGCTTCCGAGCTGGTGTCAGATACTACGTTAGAGGTGAAATTAAGAAAAAAGAAACCTGAATTGTGACACTGAAGCTTTGTTTTTGCTGAACTGCACTAAGCAGTGTGGAGTTGCATCTTGATAGAGTGCAAACAACACATTTTTTCCAACATAATTTAATCTCTGGTGCCTTGCTGCATGAGTCGAGATCAGCTTATCTTGTTCTGTTTAACAGTAGCTGAAGGTACTGTAATACCTGTAATACCTCGCCACTGACATGGCACTGAAACTACAGACTGCTTGTGAATGTTTTCTTTTGTCTTCACAGGCATCGACTCTGAAGGCCATGCTGCTAACTTCGTGGAGACTGAGCAGATAGTGTTGTATGAGGGAGCAAAAGCTTCATTTGTGCAGGCAAGCATGAGGGCTGGTCATACTTGGACTATTTGTACCTGGCCTTTTCTTTCTTTCTTTCTTTCTTTCTTTCTTTCTTTCTTTCTTTCTTTCTTTCTATGCAACTTTTAATTCAGATGTTAAAGCATTTATTTTTGAGAAGTACAAGATTAAACGTTTTTTCCATCAGACCCGTGGTTCCATGCCCTTCTACTGGAGTCAGAGGCCCAACCTAAAATACAAACCTAAACCTATAATCAGCAAAACCATGACTCATGTAAGAATACTTTTTCTGTGTTTTTGATAGTGATTGGTGTCAAAATTGGATGGTAATCATTTAAACTGTTTATAGATGGATGGTTTTCAGAGGCATTTTGATTCTCAGCTCCTCATCTATGGGAAGCAAACTGTTCTCAACTTGGTGAGGAAATTTCTTTTATGCTCTTAATTTTTTTCATTCAAAAGCAAATACAGGAGACTTACAGGACCAAATTGTGTTTTCTTGTTATTTTAGGTAAATCAAAAAGGCTCGGAGAAACCACTAGAACAGGCCTTTGCCAAGATGGTGTCTGGTATGAATAATGGTATGCTCAAGTAAGTGTCATTCAATACCTTCTCCAGTTTTTATGTTCACTGAGTACTCAAGATCTCTTTTTCAATGGAGACCTGGCCAAGATGGCAACCATATAAATTTACAACATATTCAAATTCAACACATATAAGACAATGTACAAAAAATCCATTCACAAGATAAAAACAATGGACTCAAGGAAAAACGGCTACATCTCCTTCACCACATTCTTTGTGATGTCCTTAAATTCTGCAATAGATGTAAATGTCTCTATGAAAATGGAGTTTTCGCCAGATCTGGAAAAATTTGAAGTACATTAAAAAGTAACCACCTGGAAGAGAGTAGCTGGTATCGACTAGAGCTAAGACAGAAAAAGGTGCAAAGATAAAGTTGGAAGTTTACTCAGTATCACTTTATAGATTAAAAATATAGCAGTGTTGTTTTCTGTGTCTAGGAAGGGTCAGTGATGCCCGTCACACTAACCCATAAAGAATGCACTGGTGAGTAAGAGATTTTGCATCTGTAATGAAATGCAAGGATGCATGGTACACTGAATCAAGGAGGCTAAAATAGAGGAGGCTGCATGCGTATATATTTCCATAATCAATCACAGTGTAGCCTAATGACTACACTTATGAACATGGATATTAATATATAATGTTCAATACCTCAGATCATGGCATTGGATGGTTTGAGTGTTATCACACTATCGATGAAGTGGTTAATAAGAGCAATTATTCATTCATTAATTCATTCTCATTGGTAATTCTGGAGTTTTCAGAACCTTGACCTAGTTACTGGAAATGAAAGAGACCCAAAGATGAAATGAGAAATAGCCAGTCTAAATACATTTATTTACACATGTACAAGGGGGTACATGATTGAGGTGAAAAATGCAATGGAAATGGTACCGCGTCACAGAGGTGACCGGGTTTAATGACTGAAGGAATTGCTGGTCTCGTTAGCAGTGGTGGGGAATGAGTCACAGTGGTCCAAAATTGAGCTAGATTCCAGATCTAAATTCTTGGTCTTAGTCCTGAATCTGGAGAGAAAAATAACTCAACTTCAATAGGTTAGAGACTTTAGCTTGGTAATAATTGTGGTTTTCATGAGACATCAGTCTACCAGGCTGTACATATCTGTCGGCAAGGGTCACGTGGCCAGGAGAGGAGAAGTGCTGGTCCATTGCCTCTTTGGGCCAGAGTCCAGCTGGGTCTGGAGTTCCAAGCTGGTCCTCAACTAGAAACTCAGGACAGTCTGTTGTCACTGGGTCCTTTTGCATTTCTAACATTTGGTGATGTCTAAAAGGAAAACCATGTTTAAATTAAGATGATCATCACAGGATCATTCTAATGGCATCTTTAAAGCTTAACAAAGGGTTCAGCTTAAATAAAACTTGCTTTTGACTTGGGGGTGGGGTTGCTGGAGTCAATCCCATCTGACAGTGGCTGAGAGGCGGGGTCCACCTTGAACAGGTTGCCAGTCTAGTGATGTGTATGTGGCGTCAGCCCACACATGTTCACTTAAAAGCTTGTTGACACACACACACACACACACACACACACACACACACACATACTTTTAACAAACATGAATAATACCTTATTCTGACTTCTAGAGACTGCTTTGTATTACTTTCATTCAGACTTTGAATGTAATTATAGTGAATACTAAGACACATCGTTTATCTCTCCTTTCATTTGTTACTTTCCCTGTCTGCTGTCTTTAGTTACGGACATGCTGTGATATCAGTAAAAATCTGTTTTCTGTAGGACTTGTCTCAGACTAACTATAGGACTCTCACATTGACATGCAACATTGTCTCCTCTGTCCTCAGTTACATAGCCTTCGACTTCCACAAAGAGTGCAGCCACATGAGATGGGACCGTCTCCAGATCCTGGTGGATGCTGTCACTGACACACAAGATGAATACAGGTAACTTAACCAGCAGCTGTTCTGGGCTAATATCTGGTTGTATGCTGTGATGGAGTATTCAGACTTTTCTCCATCCATAGTTACTTAATGGTGAACTCTGAGGGGAAGACAGTGGCCCAGCAGAAGGGAGTGTTCCGCAGTAACTGCATGGACTGCCTGGACAGGACCAACGTGATCCAGAGCCTGCTTGCCCGACGCTCCTTACAGTCTCAGCTTCAGGTATTTTAACTCTGACACTGCTAACCCTCCTAGAATAGCAAATTAATCATTCAGTATTTTAAATGTGTGGTAATTACAGCCTGTAGGTTTTAGTGTGCTTCAGCCTTCTAGTCTTATCAGAGTTCTTGTTGGTTCAAGAATTTCTGACGTATTGAAATTTAGAGATGGGAGACTGCCACCGTTTGATACGTTCACTTTATATACAGCCTCAAGAAAAAGTAATAGTGCTATTGGCAATTTCCTGGTTTTCTGAATCAATTGGTCATGACATGAGATCTCATCTTCACCAGAGTCACAAATATCACACAAGAAGACTAAAAGGTTAGAACACTTCACATTCTTCTTACTTTGAGAGACCTGAATCTTATTGACCACGATTTGTATCCCGGCTGTGTCCCCACAGAGAATGGGAGTTCTGAACGTGGGTCAGCGGATTGACGAGCAAATTGAGTTTGAAAAGATCTATAAGAATGGTAATGTCTTCTGTATGTTTGACTATTAGCATGTAGTGTGTTGAAACTGTAGTCACTGAGTGTGCTCACTGTTCTCTGTGCATGTTCTCTAACCAGCATGGGCTGACAATGCCAATGCATGCGCTGTACAGTATGCAGGAACTGGAGCCTTGAAAACAGACTTCACAAGGTACAGCACTGTACTATCCTATTCCACACATCAGTTCACTGACATGTTTTCTGGAGCCCCTTTGCAATTTTATGATCATAGCTGCAAAGTTGATTTTTCCACCAGGACGGGGAAGAGGACCAGCTGGGGTCTTTTGATGGATGGTTGGAACTCCATGATCCGCTACTATAAAAACAACTTTTCTGATGGATTCAGACAGGTACGATGCCTGTGATTTTCAGATACACCTTCATTAAAGACTTTAGTTCGGTGCCCGAAAAATTCAGTTAACTTCAATTACCATATGTAGCACCAAATCAATCAGAAGTCACCTCAAGGCACGTTACATAGAAAGGTAAAAAAAACAGCAAATCCTCCTTGAACAGGCCCTTGTTGAAGAAAAAACTCCCTTTAACAGAAGAAATCTTTAACAGAAACAGGCTCAAGGTGGGTGGCCATCTACAGGGTTCGTACGGTCATGAAAAACCTGGAAACGTCACAGAAATTGAACGTACATATTTCCAGGCCTGGTAATGTTCTGGAAAAAGTATATACATATAAATTTTTTGGAAAGGTCGTGGAAATTTGATATATGTAATTTGATTAGGAGTGGTTGTCAGTACATTATTTCAATAATAGAAAATTAACTTTAAAATGGGCAGGTCTCACACAAAGTCACGAGTGCTGTCTAACGTCCTTTCTAAGATGACCCGATGTTGCAGTTTGTTCACGAGAGCAATGTAAATTCACAATATGCCAAAAAAAAAAGTGGATTTAATTATGTTTGCCTTCATGTGGACAAGTATAAGGTATAGCTTGAAAAAACCACCAGGACCTGGGATGCGCAAAATGCAGATCGTAGTAAGATGTTTAACACTTCAAACACAGGAGATGGAGAAGCAGCACTAGCTAGCTACACTAAAGGATCGAAGCACCAGGCTGCTGTTGCTGCATGAAAATTAGCTCCCACCCCATCTGCAACTCTGTTTTGAAATCTCTACCCAAACATGTCCACCCCAATTCACACCAGGACAATAGGTGTTAGTCCACATGTGAGGGTTCAAAGACGGGTAACGACGCTCACCGATACCAGACTCTAACCACTCAGTTGTTAGAAGACATTGTTGGCCGTCAAGGGACTGAAACCCCACCCAGGGGGATAAATACCTCACCACCAGTCAGGCAGAACTGATGAAGCCTCTTGGATGAGAGGTGAAACGTCTTCTACCTAAAACTACGTCCAAGTGCCTTCTGCTAAGTTTTTTTTTAGCATACTATGACCTGGATGCCTGAGAATTTGCACAGGCTTGGTGGTGTCGTCTTGTCTGCTGGCTAGCATGAATCCCTGGTCCTCTTTCACGTTAAACCTCTCCAGGTGCTTGATTAAACTGGTTGTATTGTACGAGACATCCATACTTCCACCCCTCGGCACGCTGGCTTTACACACATTACAAGTAGCTGTCTTGCTTTTCAGCATTTCCAGACTAAAATATCTCCAAACAAATGACAATTTAGTTAAACCATCAGCTAATGTTGTTTGTTCACTTGGTTATAGACTGAAGTTGCCACGGGTTTATGGTAAGATGTGGAATGGAATCTGGATCGGTGACTTGTCTCGTGTTGCATCATGTCAGGTTTTTGCCCCCTTCAGCCTGCCAGGAACCATAATGAAATTTTACAGGATGACCAGTTCTTTTCAGTTTTCGTGAATGTGTGTGAAAACACTTTAGAAAAGCTGTAGTAATAACGAAAGCCCTTAGTTGATGTACCTTCAACAGTGAAATGGATCCTAAAACAAAATAAATATGATTTGGAATAGTGTGTATGATCACTTCAGTCAAGGTGTCAGTGTGGTTTTGTTGGTTTCAGGATTCCATTGACCTGTTTCTGGGGAACTTTGCTGTCGATGATACAGATGGACCCACTCCTCTTCGTGTACAGAAGGACTGGAAATTCCTCACGGTATCAGTATCAGAATATCAGTTTTTTGCTTTTTTGTTATTGGCACTGAATGTGATGTCTAATTGTTTGAATACTTTTCTTTTTGCAGCTGCCCATCATTATGCTGGTAGCATTTTCGATGTGCATCGTCTGTCTTCTCATGGCTGGTATGTTTTCCTCTGCTGATCACCTTTGCTAGTTCAAGCCAGCACTCCTGAGATTTTGTGAACAGTTTATTTAAAGCCACACAAAAGTCATATTTCTTGTCTTCCAGGTGACACATGGACAGAAACCATGGCCTTTGTGGTGTTCTGGGGAGCTGCTAGTGCGATAACAGCCACCATCATCCTGTTTAATGGCCAAGACTTTGTGGACGCCCCCAAACTGGTTCACAAGGAGAAGATGGACTGACTGTGTTTGTGTATCTGTGTGAAAGGAGCGGCTTGGCCGAACATACCTCATCACTGTCTTCTTCCTCACATCTGGACTCTAGGCTGATCTGTTGCCTCCATATAGCCCTCTAGACTTTCTCAGCCAGAGCAGTTTTTCTGTCATGTCTACAACGTATTTTACCTTTTTTAGTAGTACTGCACACACTTCTTCACAAGGGTTACATTTATTTTCCTACAATCCTCATACTGTCTTTTAGGTGGGTTTTGCTGGTTTGTTGGGTGTGTTGGTGTTATGTATCAGTTATCCAAAACCGTTTGTGTTCTTTACTTCCCACAAACAATGCAACTTCTATACAGTTATGCTACTGCAACTTTTCTTGTGTAACATTTTTAAACATTTAAATGTGTAAAAACCGATACAAGAGCAAGGGAGGTGTCTAATGCAGTTTGTTCATGTACACAGTCGAGAGGAATCAAACATTTTAAAACGTGATGGCAAAGTGTGCACATATAGGTGGGCTATGCCTGTATAGAACCTTTAAAACTGCATTAATCGTGCGTGTGTGTGTTTCAGCACTAACATTTGGTGCTGGGCAGGTCATTTACTTGGGATATAACCTTTTTCGGTGTAAACCTTCCTGCTGCTGAAAATGTGGAAATGATACAACAGAGTTGTGAACAACAAAACCAAAACAATGAGCTGAAAGATTTAAAAAGCTCTGTAGTATTTCAAAGTTGGGTCATAATTGTTAAAATTACTGATGAGTGCAGCTTTAAAGGCACTTGCTCTAGTTGTATTCATCTCAAACAGAGGATTTATTACTGTACACCTAAACAGTAACATGGTACTTAGTCATGCACATATTGAAATGTATGTTATGATGGCTAGAGCACAGTATGTACATGTTAATCTTTAAAGCCTTGTAAGTGAAATATAAATGTTTGGCCAATCTGTATGCAAGTGGAGTGAGCAGTATGTCTTCCTATTAAGCTAACTTGGGAATGTATCTTTGAGTCATATTAATGGCTTAATGCTGTCCTTACCATCTTATTATTGCACTTTGAGAACCATAAAATGTGCTGTCTGTGTACAGCTGTTAATGATTTATCCATTTGTGTGCACTGTTAGTTGTCAGAAGATTGTCAGTCATTGCTAGTTTTTTTCTAACCTGGTTCCTGACCTCAGCATTTCAACCCAGGACCCGATGTGTTCGCTGGTTCAAATAGGTCTTGCATTATGTGTTAAAATTGGCTGGAGAAGCAACAGGGCAATTTTGAGCTTTGTAGACATGATTAAGAATGAGGCCATCCTCTTCCTACACCTGCTCACCTGCATGCTGTAGCAGCTACTAAGTGCTGTTACCTTAACATTATTCACAGCAGTGAGAGAAATAAGTCAGTTTAAATGTTGTCATTTCTATAAGTTGACAACCTGAACAGCTGATTCCAACGGAAAGGGCTGAGATTTAATTTTATGGCCATTTTTATACCACAGTTTTTATGGATATAGGTGGATAGGCTGCTAGCTATTTAGGAAGATAACCTCTTTTTTCCTAAGTTCACCTACAAATTTCTTTATAGTTTTTTCACCTGGGCACCACACCGGTCCTATTTAAATGAGCTGGAGATGTTTTGTAGGTTATTCCGAGGTCTGGAACCAGGCTAATTAGTTTGTTTGGTAGGGTTATAATTATTGGTGCTTCATTACAGTATGAATTGTTGTCTGCAAGTGTTGTTTTCCCAACTACCACTGAGGGGAACCAGAGTGCCAGTGTCTCACATTATGCAAATTGTGGCTTTAATGTTATGCTAAGACAGACATGAGGTGAACCCCCTTTGGCCTAATTGCATCCACATTTCCCTCACTAACATCTCTTCCTTTCATCTTAGTCCATGTAGGATGAAAGGAAAGGGTGCAAGGAGAGAGGAACTGAGAAAACATGTTTTAACTGACATGAGATGTCCTGTCCTCCAATCCTTCAGCTGAACTGTCACTGATTCCCAATAAAGGGGAATATCAGCCAGTATCAGGCTTCCACAAAGGATACAGTTGTGTGGTCAGTTATAGCTCTTCCAAGCAGTTATTTTTCATTTGTCAAACACAATACCACCAGCCTTTTAATTTGAATGGTGTTCCTCAAAATACTGCAAAAAAGGGCCCCAACACATTTTGGAACTTTATATTTTGGTTAAAAATTCTTCATTTACAGTATATTGGTTGGCGACCTTCCCTTTAATATTCTAGAATACTGAGCAGTAAGATTACTTCAAATGATGTGTGATCATCCAGGTCATGCAGGAATCAGTGGAGAGTTTGAGCAAACCTCAGGGAAAAAACTTTTTAATGGAGTCCAAATCTGTTCTCCTTTTGTGAATTAAACTGCATTATCTTTATATAGATAAAAGGTTAACAATCCTCAGATACCAGGGCATCCTAATAATTCCCTAAAAAGCCTCCAGTTAACCCAAAATGCTGCAGCCAGAGTACTGACAGGAACTAGCAAGAGAGACCATATCTCCCATATTAGCTTCTCTCCACTGGCTCCCTGTAAAATCCAGAATAGAATTTAAAATCCTTCTAACATACAAAGCCCTTAATGACAAGGCTCCATCATATCTTAAAGACCTCATAGAGCCTTATCATCCTAACAGAGCACTTTGCTCTCAGAGTGCAGGTTTACCTGTGGTTCCTAGAGTCCACAGAAGCAGAATGGGAGGCAGAGCCTTTAGCTATCAAACTCTTTTCCTATGGAACCAACTCCCAGTCTCAGTTCGGGATGCAGACACTGTTACGGTTTTGGACTAGCTTCCTGTCTGGGAGTATTATTTTGTATGAGTGTCCTGTTTGTGCCATTTCACCTGCCTTGGCTTCACTCTGGTTCATGATTATCACTCTGCTTTCACCTGTTGCTTGTTATTTACTGTTCTCTAGCCTTTATATTCTCCTCACTTCCCTCAGTCAGATGCTGGTTCATACTCTCACCAAATCTTGCCTGTTTCCATGTTCCTGAAGCTTGGTTTAGGTCTCCTGTTTTGTGTTCTGCCCCAGTACCCTGTGGACTTTGGACTTTCCTGCTGTGTTGGATTCTCAGTTTTATTCTGCAGGTTTGTTTGAGTTTTGTGTTTTTTGAGTTCATTTACCTAGCTCCCCGACTGACTCTCTCTACCTTTAAGATTAGACTTAAGATTTTCCTTTTTGGTGAAGCTTATAGTTAGATTATAGTATAGTTATGTGGCCGAGGCTGCTGGGGCCCCCTATGATGCTCTGAGTTTCTCCCCTCCCTCTCCTCTCTCCTCTATCCACTCACCCCAACCAGTCGAGGCAGAAGGCTGCCCACCAACAGCTGGGGTTTGTCAGAAGTTTCTTCACTGTCGCTGAGTGCTGCTCAGGGGATTTGTTGGGTTTTCCTCTGTAATAGTAGTAAGGTCTAGACCTGACTTTGTAAACTGTCCTGAGATGACTTTTGTTGGGACTTGGCACTATACAAATAAAACTGTTTGCATTTGTTCATGCTAAACCCTTCACCGTGGATGAGCCCAGTCTTGTATTTACTATATCAAGTGTTGACTGCCACACCCAGTCAGTGAAGGAGTTTTACTTGAGGCTGAAAGCCTTAATCAAAACGCAATGTGTTAACTGTCAGAGTTAAATCTAATGCCGTCAGAATTTGTTGGTATATAAAATGTTAGCTTTTTGAAGTTGTTCATGTCTGAATGAATCGTGTGTCTCGGTGAGGGAACAAAGAAAACACTGCTGTACAGACCAGTAGTACCAGTATGACTTAGTATGTGGATTATATATGGGGTTTGTATTCAAATTGCTTTATAGTTTATATTTGTATGTAAGGTTTTGAAATTTGAACATAAAAACATTTTTTTAGTATTTTTAACAGATATGAATTGAAAAGGTATTAAGTTTCACAGTAAGCCACTCTTTCAAAATCAAAAATATGAATGCAGATAAATTTTTATGCATGATAATCACCTTTATTGGCCAAGTATGTTACACACAAGGAATTTGTTTCCGGTACAGAACCGATGGCAGCCATCTGCGGCACCAACTCAACCCATGGCTCTAACCATCGCGGGCAACTTCAGGGTTCCGTGTCTTGCCCAAGGACACTTCGACACGTGGACTGCAGGCACCAAGATTCAAATCTCCGACCCTCCAGTTGGGAGACAACTGCTCTACCCACTAAACCAGTCGCCCCCAGAAATGAATAACTTCTGTTTATTCTAGAAAACAGAACCAACTGGCTCAGATACAGGCCACTGCAGCTTTTCACTTTTGTGTTCACGCTTCTGCTTTTTTGGTCTCACACACATACACCACAACATTTTGTGGACAAGCGAGACTTCCTCATACGGTTTCAATGAAAAGGTTTTCATGGCATAAATTGAACTTCTGTATAACTAATAATAATTGTCATAGTAGCAGCGTGGGACTTTTGTTTGCTCAGTGCGTGTCTATGAGCATGTGTTGTGAATCACACCAATGGATCCCAAAGTGTAATAAGAGCACTTCTGGTGTTTAGTACTGATGGCAACAGCACTGTTGCAAGGTCTGTACAGACTTTCAATTTTACAGAAGATACTGTATTTCAAAATTCAAAAACTTTTACTGATTCAGTAATGGGCAGCACAGCAGCACGGTGGTTAGTGCGGTCACCCCTTAGCAAGAAGGTTCCATGTTCGAGCCCCAGCCAACCCGGGGCCTTTCTGTGTGGACTCTACATGTTCTCCTTGTGCCTGCGTGGGTTCTCTCCATGTGCTCCGGCTTCCTCTTGCAGTCCACAGACATGCAGCTTAGATTGACTGGTGACTCTACATTGTCTGTAGGAGTGAGTGTGGTTGTCTGGCTTGATGTCAGCCCTGAGATGGGCTGATGACCTGTCCAGGGTGGGCCCTGTCTCTCACCCAGTGTCAGATTTGTTCAAACACTGAACAAATCTTTGACAAAAGCTACACTTTAAACTGTTAATCAAGAAAAAATGGAACAAAACAACACCAACAAATATAAAGTGCCTTTTTTGGCTGTAGAAAGAATATTTCAGCAGTGGTGCTGTGAGGGATGTTGGGTGCAAATCAACAGCACTAACTGGATTAACTGACTGGTCCACTGTTTCACTTCTCTCATTTTGGTTTAGCACCAATTGAATTTAAAAAAACACATTTAAAGTTATAATCATTACAATATCAACAAGGCAAACCCCATTTTGCTGCTATTTATCATCAGCTATTCAAAGTATTTACATACAATACTTGTCTCTCTATGAAGTATTATAACTAATGGAGGTATAGCTTGTAATTCCTGTGCTAAATTCAGATTAACTGCTTAAGAAGAATTTCACAGCAAATTATGCAAGTATGTAATCCAGCACAGTTTTATTTGATAGCCTTACTGTTTACTGTGCACTACAGTTGTATCGGTGCAGTATTACATTAGTGCTAATGTTTACGTCTCCCGCTGCTGCTGCTAAAAGACAATATTGCTTTCTAGCTTGGTGCAAATCACTATTACAAAATGATCAGTATTAAAATTTTTCTGATATGCCGCCTTTGTTTAAGGGTCGGTTAGATTCAGGCTTAAAACCATTTGGTTGGGGTTTTGCACATTCATTCCCCTTCCCTTCACTAATATATGGAAAAATATTCACTAGCAGCAATAACAGAAACATTAACACTGATTTCATAGCAGTGATGTTGTTCATTCTCTGTGCTCACGTCAGTGAGGATCTTTCTTTTAACTCCTTTGCAAAGGTAAATGACCTGGGGAGGATTTGGAAAGTTGAGATTGTAAAGTGAGTTATGATAACATTAGTATAATATTCCTATGCTTTGGCAAGCTGGATTGCTTGTTCACTAGTCATTTAATTTCACAAAGTCAGCGATATCGTGTCACAGATGGTTAAACATGCATCCATAATATTAATTACTGCAGCCGAACCCGTAATCTTAATGAAATATGCTTTAATGTGAGACTTCAGTTATATAATTGGTACATAATAAAATAATAAATAAATAAATATGTTTTGTTTAGTGCATTAATTAGACAAACACACAGAAATAAATAAATAAATAAATAAATAAATAATTCAATAAATAAAGTTAATGTAAAATGTTGAATAAATACATCCTCTCAAATCCACTTTTGTCAGCTTGTAGTGATGCAATATATACGAGGCACTTATAGTATGTTTGTCTAAGTGACCAAGACGGAAGAGATTTAGCACTGCAGTACAGCAAAAGGTACTGGTACTTCACTGGTTCAGTAAACAAAGCTTGGTTTACTTTCAAATGTAACTGCTTGCTAATGCAATTGGTTAAAGTCTATATGTAAAGTTGCATCGAACATTCTGTGCAATGTAAGGACACCTACAGTTCAACGGCTTGTCTTCATGTAAAGTCAAAGATTCCCCTGAAACCCTGAGTCCCCTGTCCTCATAAGGCAAACACACCAAAGAAAGTCTTCCCAGGCTCATCTTCCAGGTCAAGCAACATTTTCTCTTCCATCTCCGTCTTCAGTGTGTCCCCTTTTTTCAGGTTGAACACAGCTCCCATGTATACAGCAGAGAACCAATGCCCCTCATCATCTGGATCACTGCTGGCTGTTTTTTGGCAGGCAGTGTGGATGGAGTGCAGGATCGTCTGGTAGCAATTCGTGGTATTGTCAGTGCAATACGAGCTTGACCAGCGCATCACTGTGTGGCTAAGGTGGACTATGGGTTTTGAGGTGGTGTCATCATCATCATCATTGCTGATGCTGCAGCGGACCCGGAAAGATACTTGGCTGTAAACAAAGTAGAGGCCGTTTTGAGGAATCACAATCTCATTGTTGCTGAGAACCAGCCCTCCTTGAAAGTGGGACTGATCCACTTGATCCTTCCATTCCACTGAGGTTTTTATGGCTGGGTTGTATTCACCTGTTTAACAGTATAGAGAAGGTGGAATAAGAATTTGCTATTAATGCAATCATTTTTCCACAAAGACTGGGAGGAATCCCAGGATTATGTGATCATTTCCATCAGAATGCAATCAAAATGTTTCTTAGGAACAAGTAACTGCTAATAAATTGCATTACAGTAAAATGTGACCATTCTTCAATTTCCTTGATAACTGCTTCAAGTTTCCATAGTACTCACCTATGGGACTAGAACTGTCATAGACACATTTTAAACAACCCCTAAATTGCCTTTCAGAATGCCATGAGCATCCTCAAGAAGTCCTTAAGAAACCAAGGAACTCCTTAAAGAAGCTAAAAACTCCAACTCCTCAATTCACCTTAGACCTACTAAATGACCCCTAGCAGCCTCAGCGACCCCTGATCTCAGAACCACTAGACCAAGAAAACCTACATTTAAGATTCAGCACTGAGAGTGTCTGTCCAAAATATGTCTGCCATCACTTTTCTCATGCTGTGTCTATTACAAATATCAAACAGCCCCTGGTATGTGGAATATATTGCTGGCTTTTACCTTCTAAATGAATGGCTGCTCGTACATTTGAAATTTGCCTCAGTGTGTGATGAATATCTGAAAAGAAGAGAAGACAGAGGTTTATAAAATTCACCTTGTGATATGTAGTGTTCTGTGTAGATAGTATCGTAATAAGAGCAGAAGGAGTCTCTCAACAAGATTTTTACTGTTACAGTGGTTCAACAAAGAAAAACTGTCTGGAAAGTGACTTATGAGATATCAGAGGCTATAATGTTATCACCACCCACCAACAGACGTTAATGGAACCTTGAGAGAATTTAGTGAAATGTTCTCACCGAAACTGTCTCCATCGTGTCCTGGGTCCTGTTTGAAGATGCAAAGAATAGAGAGACTGTTAAGGAATGGCTGGATTGAGCTGAGTTAGAACACTGGCTGAGAGAGACATCCAGGCCCCTGAGAAGTTTAGAAACTAATTTAAGGCTTGTGTTCCCACCTCGCCATGCCTGTTGAAGACAAGGACAGCAGCAGCAGCAAGGCAGAGTGTGAACGCCAGCAGGGCTGTGGTTTGTTTTGAGATGAGTTTGACACTCTGCATTGTTTGTTTCTTGACTTCTGTGTTGACAGTGGCATCCAGCAGTACCTTGCATTCACCTTCCATTTTTTTTAAATACGTATTACTAAGAGCTTTCGACCTTCTTCTACTGGCACTCTGGTTTGTTGACTGATTCAGAGTAAGTGGCTCTTTTTAAATAGCTTCCTCCTGGGGGAAACTCCAGTGATGTCATTCACTGCTAGTGAGTAGAGATTTGATGAGCTTGGGGAGGATCTTACACACTACACACTCCTACACATATTTCATCTATATGACTGTTATCAGGTAGCACCTACAATTTGTGTAGAAACTCTTTTCACACCTCAGTGGATGCTCACACACACAGGTCTACAAATAGGCAAGCACAGACTATGATACACACATAATGGCACACAGTCTCAAACACAGATGGACTCACTTTCTGACATACATCTGCAAACCAAACATACAAACGAAATCAACAGAACGCATCTAGTTCATCGTTTTACACAGAAAATGGACATTTTAGCCCATCACATCAAATGTTGACTGTGTACATATGTTGTGTTATACTGGTCAGCTTCATGAGCGTCACATACGTGGGAAGTGTACCAGAGTGTGAGGCAACAAGTGACACACAATCATTCACTTGTCCATTGAGGCATTTGTTGTGTTTGCCACGATTGCCAAAAATTGGTCATACTTCTCTTAACTGACAAAAGAATCTCGCCACAACGTGATCACCTCAAGGCGGCACACTGAGCAGTCGTTTGGGGTTTTTGATGTCTTCACACATTCATTACTCTCAGACAAGGATCTGCCGCTTGTCATGGAATTGTAGATGTTCCTTTTTTGAGTACTTTAAGGACTCCTTATCCACAGTGGCTTACAACTGGATTTCTTTTTGGCCATGTTAGATTATGTCTTCATTACAGAGAGGTTTCAGCAACCAGCAGCAAACATGAAATGTTCTAAACCCCTCAGCACCAGGACAACAGACACATCACATCTGAATTTACATTTTGACCTGACAAATTATCTCTGACAGCCATTCATGTAAACATGTTTGTATCATAGAACAACCAGTTAGCAGGAACAGTGATGGGGATTAGTGAACTACATGTAATTAAACTACTACTACTTCATTACTTTTTGCAGTAGTCTGCTTGTAGTTCAGCTACATTCATATTTGTGTAACTGAAATAGTTTTTGCTATTTTTTGCGTAGTTAACTACTGAAACCACAAATAATTGTGAGCCATAAAAGGATTTGTACAAGTCAGTCATGTTGTAAAACTGACAAGTACCATAAGGCAATAGACCAGTGCTAAAGTCAGTTACATGGTCAAGGTGCACTAGATGTCTCTATATATAAATATCTACTAACATCACATTCCACAGAAAAACTATGTGGCCACAACAGCCTGCTGGGTAGGTCCATTTTTGATTTTTGGCCCAGAACATTTGTTTACTTGTAATGTTGAAACTTTTTTTTCCACTTGGATGATCATTAGACTGTGTTTCCTGCCCTGTGGGAGTTCAGTGTTATCAATCACTGATCAGAATGATGGCCAAATGACAAAAAGTAAAGCTACAACCCCAAATCAGAAAATGTTGGCACAGTATGTAAAATCAAGACTGATACACTGAAAACAACACAGCAGCACATTATCTGATGTGACACCTCATCAACTTTATTCTTTGTTCAAAATAAAACTCTTTAACTCTGATGCTGCAACACATTCCAATAAAAGTTGGGACAGTAAAGCATTGACCACGGTGTGATGCTGCCGTTACTTTTCACAACACTTAAAGACATTTAGGGACACCAAGTGATTCAATGTGTCAGGTGTCATTCTGTCCCATTCTGCCTATGAACAAGTCTTAAGGTACAACAGTCCTGGGTCTTCATTGACACAATTTGCAAACTGCACCACACATTCTCTACTGGGGACAGGTGGGGACTGCAGACAGGCCAGTCCAGCACTCAGCCCCTTTTCGAAGTGTGAGTGACCTTTGCCCTTGACACTGACACAACCCCAGACCACGACAGAGCCTGGCTTTTGGACTTGTTGCTGGTAACAGTCTTGATGGTCCTTTAGTCTTTGGTTTGGAGCACACGGCCTCCATTCCTTCCAAAAAGATCTGAACCACTGATTGGTCTGACCAGAGTCCACGTTTCCACTGTGTGATGGTCCATCCCAGGTGCCTCTGAGCCCAGAGCAGTCGACTTCTGGACACTGTTGATAGGCTCGGCCTTTATGCACTGAAATCCTCCAGAGTCTTTGAATCTTTTAATGATGCTCTGCACCGTAGAGGGTGACAGATCCAAATCCTTCCTGTCTTCCTTTGAGGAATATTGTTTTTAAACATTTCAATCATTTTCTCACAGATACAGTATGTTGGCAAACTAACGGTTCTCGACCCATCTTTGCTCCTAAAGCGCTCGGCCTTTCAGGAAACACCTGGAAACCCTAACCCAACACCTGTTGACATCACCTGGTTCAAATGGAATCATCATTTCATTGTTTTACCTTGTTACTGGCCCCGAAATGCAGCCGACCCAACTTCTTCTGATTTGGGGTTCTAGATACAGTATATGTATATACATTTGTTTTAATCTAATTACAAAACATTTATTTGATACACTGCAAAACTGGGAATACATTGTATTCCAGCATAGTACTCTAGTATTTTTAGAAAATGTCATATTATCTGCTGTGTGCCCAGACAACTGGGGTTTTGTTACATAGACAATGGGTTAATCTGAATTAACATAAGCTGCTCACTGTAAAGAGCTGACTGTATGTGGTTTTTCTTGATGAATGTACTGAAGACTAATGACATCTGTGTGTTCTGGTTTCTGCCTTAAACTTGTTACACCAGAGTTCAGTTACAGCAAAAACAGAAAGACATACAGTATTAACTAGCCACAAGTTTCTGTTTCACAGCTGCCAAAACATGTGACCTAAATACCTGAATTTAATAGTCACACAACATGTGGTAACATTGGAATTTTTACCATCTGCTGCATTTAAACAGCTGATATGTTATGTGCACACTACCTACTCACATGGTTGTCTACTAGGTGGATTTTCTATAATGTAAAATGGGAGTTACTGGAGCTGGGCAGATGTTTAGATGTTTGCTGTCTAACAAGCTGATCATGCTGTTGACCACAAACTTCTAAAATGGCTGCTGAAGGCTGTGTCATGCCATCTGTAGACCTTCAGCTGCTGCCAAAGTTTAATGAAAGCAGTATAATGTATCACTGCTGAGTCTAACAGCAAAGCTCTCTTCTAAATCTATACTGCAATAACTGGATCCTCTCAGTTCAACCTTGGGGAAAGATAGCTTCACACGTAAGTGTACAAAAACTGGGAATGAGTTTTATATTGTTTAAAACAGTGGCAGTGAAAATACAGACACTCACACATGTGACCTTTTTAAACTTGTCATGAGAAAACTGTTATGGCAGCAACAAAATCACCATTGAAAAACAAAGAATAAAGAGAGCAAATATTTTTAACACTTACTGAGCATGTTAAGTGGAAATGTATGGAATAAACGAAGGGGAAAATGACAGCATGGTTGCTAATGTCACTTGACATCTCATTTAGTGAGAATGACTAAACTTACTTTTCCAGTGAGGGTGACGGTGACTGTGACTGTGAGGTAGGAGGGGACTATACCTGACAGAAACAGAACAGGAAGGATGTGGAAAAAATACTTTTCCAGAAGCTTCCCCTTATGTGGTCTACAGCCAACCTTCACTTTCATTTGAATTACATTTTGCAGCAGGGATTTTTTTTTGTTTTTAGAAAATCCCCTCATGTTGCAGTACACGACCCTGCTCTTTTTTTGTGTTTCTATTTCTGACACAAGAAGCAAAACCTGAGCGCTTCACTTCTCTTTTCATCACTCTCCAATGCATGTCATTAACCTCTCCTCTCCCATAATCTGTGCTCTCTCTCTCTCTCTGCACCTTTCTGTGGGCATCCCTAGCTTCAGAGCTGATGTTACTGATGAGATGTCACCGGCCCCACTGACCAGCCCAGTGCTTGTGTTTGTTGTTTTGTGACGCTTTTCTTTTTGGCAGAAGGCCGCACACTGAGACCCAGAGCTTGTTATTGTAATGTTCTTGTTTAGTTGCTTCCTCACGAGCCATTCTTATCACCTGTGTTTAATATTCTTCACAGTCAGTCTTAGGTCTGTGGCACTGTGCATCTGTGTTTTTCTATTTACTTGTACGCCCCTAGTCATTATTATGTCAGGTTTGGCGTGTACAGATCCCAAACAGAGGTTGTGGTGAACTCAATTAAATAACCAGACGAACCGAGGTAGCGACAAGTTCTTTACTAGTAGTAAACAAAACAACTAACATAAAGTCCAGGATATCACTCAGGTCGATAAGACAGTCCAAGGTCGGAGCCGGTAAACGGGTATAGCCAGGGGATCCAAACTCAAGGTCAAGGGGGACAAAATCAGAAGGTCGGTATACTGCAGGCGATCAGAATCTGGGAGGGCATAGACAAAACACGGCGGTCAAAAAACGGTAATCCTAGGTCAGAAACAGAGAGTCAGGCAAGGTATACGTGCTGGAGAGTCAGAGCTGGGGTCTAGAACAATCTGGCAGCGTCCTGGTGGGAGGACACTGCCTAAATAGAAGTAAAAAAACAGGTGCGAACAATAAGGAGCAGGTGAACTAATGATAATTAAATAAAAAAGGCCAAAACTGAGGTGAAACAAAACAGGAAGTCATGTGAAAATAAAAGCATGACAGGAAGCAAGAGGGGCAGGAGCGTGACATATTAAAGTCATGTTGACTTAACACTATATCTGTGAATTTGCATTTGGGACCTGGTATAAATCCTGACACTGTAAAAGCCACCAGCTGATAAGCTGTCTTCTCTAGTTGTTTAATTTAGTTAAATTAAATTCAATTTATTTGAATAGCACCAATTCACAACAACAATTGTCTCAGGGTGCTTTACATAATCAGCTCTGGACCTTACACTATTCCAAGGAAAACCCAACAAATCCCCTCTGAGCAGCACTTGGTGACAGGTCAGGCAGCATTTTCTCTTTCATCTCCATCTTCCCTTTAACAGAAGAAACCTCCGACAGACGCCGGCTCTTGGTGGGTGGCCTTCTGTCTTGACAGGATTGGG